CTCGCCTAGAGAATATGTAGCTTTATTGATTATATCAACAATTATGCTTAGAAACAATTTATACTTTTAGTAATTTTCAATTAGAAAAAAAAAAAAAAAAAAACTCTTACAATCACAATTCGTTACGACTTGCAATCTGTCAAAAATAATTATGGATTCGATTTGCAATTTAACAGCAATATGTATGTATTGCAGGTAGTTGCAATGCAAACGCGGCAGATTCAGCAGTGGCGAGTCCGCGGAAATCGGAGCCATGTGATCCATGGTTAGGGCTTTGCCCCATTGGCAGCGATGAGGAGAAGAATCGAGCTTGTAAGAAGCGATGCGTCGAAGCTTTTCACAAAGATGTCGATGGATATTGTACTAGGTTCCCAGCAACAGGCGGGCTGTGTTTCTGTGTGGCTTGCGCCTAATATTACTTCTTAGTGTTATCAAGACTCATGTAAACATTAATAAAAATGTTTTGGATTGGTTTAATTTGGAATAAATGAAAGAGTAGGGATATATATGAAAATCATTTTAATATTTATTTTCAAATCTTTTAAATATTTTATATAGTTTTGAAAAACAAAAGTTCAAATTAAAAATAAATAAATTAAAAATTCAGTAATTTATTTTGGGGTACATTACAACCACCCCTGAGGTGTGGTCAATTTACGAGAAAAAAAACCCCTCTTGTTTAGATAATTATATCTACCCCTCAACTACGATTTTTTCTTACACCTCCAACCTTGTGGTGTCATATTCGACATAATCATCTAGATTTCATGAATTGTTCTCTAGTTTAGTTTATGATGCATCACAATCCGAAATATACAAGCCAAAAAACACATATTATGATCATGTTGCTTCTAAATGTGGAGTTCGAATGAGATAAAACAGGTACAAAAGTGATAATATTCTATATAATCTCAAAGATTCCACTAAATTTGAAACCACAAAGGTGTACGTGTAAAAAAAATTATAGTTGAAGGGGTGGTTGTATTTATCCAATCAACTGGAATGTTTTCGTAATTTAACCATATTTAAGAGTAGTTGTAATTTATCATTTATTTTGAAAAAGTTATAAAACACTGTGCACCTAAAACCACCTTGACTTTCTTGTATAAAGACGAAAGTCCATTAACTACAATTGAATACACACAACTCTAATTAGGTGATCTTCATCCAATCAGAATAACCCACGTGTCGAATTTTAAATCATTATTGGTGACGTGAAAATCTGTATAAATTGGGGGTTACAATTTACAAAATAAAAATCAAAAAATAAAAATTCATCGATTTGTACTAGGTTTGATATATTAGCATGGCCAACCTTGCCTCGTCATCAGCCTTGTGTTCTCATCAGGTGCGATATATATATATATATATATATATATATATATATATATATATATATATATATATATATATATATATATATATATATATATATATATATATATATATTAGTCTCTAACTGTATTAATTTATAGAGTTTCAACTGTATATATATAAATTGATGATGCAGTTATTAGCAGCGTGAAAGCGGCGGATTTAGCGCCGGCAAGTCCACCGGAACCAGAGCCGTGTTATGTCGAGGTAGGGACGTGCGATGAGCCCGGCAGCGATAAAGAGAAAGACGAGATTTGTAAGAAGAAATGCAGCGCGTATTTTCATAAAGAGCACGATGGCTTTTGTCAGAGGTCGCCTAATCCTAATGAACAAGATGGAACCTGCTTCTGCCCGGTCGATTGCAAACCCCCTCAGTCAACGACGGTCAAATCTTAATAATTTCGAAAAATTCGCCTATTTTGTAATAAGAGATGTTTTCGGATTTCGTTTGCTACGTTGCAGTATTTTCATGGTCATTTTAGAATTTATTTGCAAACGTTGCAATAAATCAATAACAAAATAAGAGAAGAACAAAAAAAGAAGGAACTCGAATCAGTACATTGTCATTGTATAATAGCTCAATAATCATTCGACTCGATGCTCTTCACCATTCAACTCGATGCTCTTCACAGAGAGGTCATATATTTGAACAGTTACAAGAAACAACGACGATGAAGGTGAAAACCTACGCTCTCTATAAGTCACGCTAAAGACACAATTCATAGCAAAAGATCGATTGGCCAAACTGGCTGTACGACAATAGTTCCAAAAAAAAAACAAAAAAAAAAAAAAAAAAAAGAAAAAAAAACGAGCGATAATAGTGAGAGAAAATATAACAGGCTATAGATGCATTAGACAATAACTCAAGAAGAAATAGAAAACACACGGTCATTCGTTTTGTCAGTCGTGCCTTGCGATAAAAAATACAGCACCTCGTCTCCCAATTACTCGATTTGTTCGTGGACCCCCCTGAAATTTGTCGTTTCGAAGAATAAATATTGGAAATCTCAAATCAGAGAAATATAAAATTGCCTTTATTTGTGGGAGTGGTATTATAGCTTCATTCACGTTTTAATTTCAAATAATAATACGATAGGCGTTAAAGAACCTCACCAGCCGAACAAATTTTGTCAGTTGTCAACAACAGTAAATAGCTTGATCTATAAGAGGTGGTATTTGTTTTATTTCCGCACCGAGCTCCTGCTCAATCCTGTACCTGCAATCGACCCAAACATAAAAGAAATAAGGAAAAAGGCGAAATATAAACGATAAATAATACAAACCATGGTGTGATTTAATTAGATGAAATACGATTAAATATGAAGATGAACACATACAAGTTGAAACGGTCTTCATATGTAATCAAATTCACAGCCAATCCGAGATGCCCGAACCTTCCTGAGCGGCCCACCTAAACCATTAAGACACGGTTATTAAATTTGGTAAAAGATTGTCCTGCATTAAAAAAAAAGATACTTCTTGCATTTCCCGGATAACTTGTTTCTTCCCTTGACAAATTCTACATACCCTGTGCAGATAAGTTTCGGCATTTTTGGGAAAATCGAAATTTATGACAACGTTGACAGCTTGGATGTCTATGCCTCTCGTAAATAAATCTGCATGCATATTAACAATATAGATATTAGTGATAATATGTTTATGAGATGATACTAATGACGGAATCCAAAAAAAATTCAGGCCAGAGGACACATCTAGAACTTAAATATAGGGGGAACAAGAAATTTTTAAATATCTATATAATAATGAAGGAAGCCCGGTTCAAACAGCCAACCCAAAGATCACGTCTTATATTTAAAATAAAGGAAAACTTATTTAAAACATCCATGAGGCTTGCTGACAAGAACACCAACAAACTGATCAATGGAAATACAATCGGTAAATGCATCGCAATTCGCCTAATTTTATAGGATTACAAAAACAAATAATAGCTACAATGCAAACTATCAAATTGGATGTTAAGCATAAGAGGAAATTTATGAAAGGATATCATTATACTAGATCGCTGTTACAGGATCAGAGTCCATTTTAATTCTAGGTTATAAATCATGCCATAAAGAAAATGTTTATTCCTAGAATAACAATGTAAATGAACAAAAGTTAAAACAATTTGTCTTAGATGCTGCAAAACCATAGGAACGGGCATCAAATAAGCAGTATATTTAACACAAAACCTCTTAGAAACAAAGCATACCGGTGCAAACAAGATTCCTGCATGCACCATTTCGGAAGTCATGAAATACTCTGTTACGATGATCTTGCAGCATCTTAGCATGGATATAAAAGCAAGAATAACCCAGCTCTGTGATTTTCTTGGCCAGCAGCTCCACTCGATTGACAGAATTGCAAAAGATTATTGACTGGTTAATTTGCAGCTGTAAAGAAGCTAATATGTAAATTTTCCCAGTAAAAGAAAACAAAGGTTAAAGGACACAATTATTGAGAACATCATCAAACCTTCGAGAAGAGTGTGTTGAGGCAGTGAACTTTCTGTCTTTCTTCTACAAAAGCATAATACTGGGTGACACCTTTTAGAGTGAGTTCATCCATGAGATTAATGACATAAGGCCTTCTCAAATGTCTATCTTTAAATTCTTTCACAGTCACTGGAAATGTAGCTGAATACATCAGAATTTGCCGATTGGGAGGAAGAAAGGAAATCAGCTCATTCACAGAAGGTTGAAATTCAGGAGATAATAGCTTATCGGCCTGAAATATTCGGTTCAAGCAAGATTAGACAATACATTTCCTCCAGTGCTATGATAGAGATAAATTATGATATGCCTATATTAAGGGATCGTAGGTTAAATGGCCAAGAAATATTTGTTAAAACCAGCGATTTATAATAAGGATAAGAAAAAAACTGAGAATGGCTCCACTGATTGTCTTAAATCTCGTTTAAATGAGTGGAAAAGATAAAGGTAACAAACTACAGCTCCGCTTACCTCATCCATAACGAGAACTGAACAATGCTTCAAATTGCAAATCCCTTTTTTGGTGAGATCAAGTACTCGTCCAGGAGTTGCAACCAGTAAGTGGACAGGTTGATACAACCTCATTATGTCATCCTTGAGACTGGTTCCTCCAGTGGTAACCATTACCTGAATTTTTAAGTGTTTTCCTAGTTCCTTGCAGACTTGGGATGTCTGAAGCGCTAATTCTCTTGTCGGGACTAGTATAACAACTGCATGAAACATTAGATACATATAATTAGGAACTTGGGTCTAGGCATAAAGGAGTAAAGAAATGCATTACAACGAAGCACAATCGCTTATGCAGATGCAGAATTTGATATATATTTTGCATCAAAAGTGAATGCATGATTTTCAAAAGCATTTTTTTATATTTAATCATCTACAGGAAACCAGAAACACAATACATCTTGCAAGTTAAATCTATTGCTTTCAAGTGTTAAATCCATAAAAAGTACAATTAACTCGTCCATATAGGTAACATAGAGGGCAAGTGATGATCAATGGGGAAAATAAAATGAGATTTCTCGCCATATTTAGCAGTAGTTACATACAAAGCCAATGCTGCAATTTCTTAATGGAGGTACATCCGATCTAGACAGGACCGTCATAATGACAAAAAATATAAATGGTAAATTCATAATACCCATTTCCAACCGTCGCAATTTAATGGAAACATGACATCAAAGGCTGAAGTTTCTCGATTACGACACATAAACTACAATTTAGGTGTTCACATCTCCGGACTCCGATAGATTAATTAACTTGAAAAGAGGGTCATAATTCCAAATGAATTAGCAAAAACATTAATATTCCTCCGAGCGGAGATTACAAGGAAATTATTTTATATAAATATCCAAAAAAGCAACGGTTACTAAACCTGCTGGAGAAAATTATTTAAGAATTAAAAATTGATCAAATATTTATATTCGGTAGACCCCGGGGTCCTTTGAACCCAAGAACCGATAAAAGTAACTAATTAGGTGAAAAAATTAGAAACTTATTCCATCGTAAAAAAAAAATCTAAACTTATTTCAAACCCTGATTGTATCTATTGTATCCCTGACATACATACCATTCTTTGAAGCAGTCATTTATTTTTTTTAAATAATATTGCTCAGTAAAACAAATAACAAAATTTTCTGGAAAAAATATTTAAATAATAATAGATGTATAGGTACCTTGAATGACATTGTTATCTGAATCAATTTTTTCCAGTGCCGGAATGCAGAAGGCAGCGGTTTTTCCAGTACCATTTTTAGCTCTGGCAAGAATATCACTTCCGGTCAGAGCAATGGGAATACTTTCTTCCTGGATGGGAGAAGGCCTTTCAAATCCCTTTTCATATATTCCCATCAATAACTCGCGTTTCAGGAAGTAATCTTCAAATTCATTTCCTTTTGTCGCAGTGACATCCTGATTGAAAGAAAACATGTCCAGTGAGGAAGCAAAAAAGGCAATGCCAGTTTAGTTCCCTATAAGACTAAATTCAAGCAAAATTAAAAAATGAATAAAGCATAAAGAAAATAGTAATAGATAAATAAAATTGTGACGAAATCTCCAGAAAATAATACTAAAGAGACAATGACCGCTTTTTCACCGGCCACATATGAAATTGGGTTCCACGTGTCTTTGAAGGAAAGCATAAATATGTATGCATGCATATCCAAGTGTCATCTTCGTGCGTGTATCTTATATGTGCGGTGCATTAGTGTTTTCTGACCAACTGTGCAATTTACCGGAAAGATGTCGAGCAACAATAAATTCAAGGATATAGAGGCAGTTTATGGACATAGAGAAAAGGAAAAGAAATAAAAATACAGCATGATTTTCCATCTTCAGCTCTTGATTGCGATGCTATTTAGGTAATAGCATTGTGAATATGTGAACTGCAGCCTTTTGCTGCAGCGCTTTGTTGGAGGCACCTGGCGGTAACGCTGGTAGTAACTTAAGGAGGAAGCGACAAGAAAATACTTTTTTTCTAAAAGGGAGAAAAGTCTAAAGAGCTAAAAAAAAATCCTGCTCCCGCATTCCTAATTCTTCTTTATACTAATAGAGCTGTCTCAGTGTCCTATAAAGCTATGGTGAGTAAGCAAGTTTGTGACTGCAAGCTTACATAAAAGTGAGGACAAATAGCACATATACCCTTCATCTCAAGATCAATTTACAACATTTCCGAGATATTTAATCCAGCCTCAGCAACTTAGGGCTTCAATTCACATACATGGATGCCATGAGATCACCTAATATTAACTCCGTCTCTAGGATGAATTCTTCACAGATATGCTAATAGTAAGTCAAGTTTATTCCATTTTCTTACTAGCTAAATTTCTAAGCCTCTATGAAAAAACCCTCTCATTGCTGTCAAAAGCCCAGGAAGAAGTATAGTAATAAAAAAAAAAATCACTCGTCGAATAGAGGTTCATCGTACCTCAGTCCTGAACCGGTTGTCTGCAGGCGGAATCCTCAAACCAGCCTTCCAGTCTTCAGACCTAATTCCCACAATAGTAACAATGCAATCGGTGAGTTTCATACGAAAATATGCAATTCAAAATATGTACCATACCTTCACCATTTGGGTGAAATATCTAGTTTCAGTTATTCAGTTTAATATCAAAATGCTGATTAAAATTCCATGGAAACAAAGTTGCCAATTTTAATGGGTTCTTATGGAAAAAACAGAAAAGCAGAACAAAACCTAAGTCAGGGAGAAGCAAAACCTAGTTTTACACACCTATCATTTTTCAACATTTACAGCTAAAAACGCCACACAGATAAATGAAACATAAATGCATTAAGCAAAATGGAATGCTTACGTGGAACCGATGGCTTCAGACTGCACTGTTTTTTCAACTTCGTTATAAGAATCAGAAACGGCGGAGGCGCTAGGGTTTCGCCTCATCCACTGCTGCGGCTGATTCTGTGCGGCTCTCTGCGGGTACGGTGGCTGCGGCTGCTGCCGCGGCTGCGGCTGTTGGTACTGCGGGTTCCGGTTCTGATAATTCTGGTTAAAACCTCCTCCTCCTCCGCCGCCGCCGCCGCCGCGGCCGTTGCCGATCCCCGGCAAATACCTCCCTCTCCCTTGATTATTGTACATCGTAATTAGATATATGTACACGAACTAATCAAAGTCTGGATTTCCGAAAACGAGAAGAAATTGAAATCTATCTCTAACAAATTCAAACTGTTTTTGCCTTTTGAATCTTTTGAGTGAGAAATGGTGTGTGAAAATTGAAAACCTCCGGTTCTTCAAAAGAATGGGGTAAACTGTAAAAGATGATTTGTGAGGTTAAATTGTAAGGATAGTAAAAACGAGGGCCTTAAAAGAAACACTGTAAAAATATCAGCCCTATCCCGTAAATAATTCATAGCTGTTATACTACGTTGATGTAATAATATATGAACAAATAAAACTTTAATTTGTTGATGTTAGGTAATTGATTCGATTCAATTCATATTAATTTTAATTTTTCTCTAACCAATTTTCATAAGTTATTTGTTTGATTATTTTCGATTTTTTCGGTCTATGAGATTCTACATTCGGTGAAAAAAAACAGCACGGTTTTGCCTTGCACAATTCAAACGATTTCAGCAAGTTTATCGTAAGTATATATTCATCCACTAGGCACAAATATACATTTGTGTTTGTGATATTATATGTAGATCAATGGTGTAAAATCACCCGATGTATTTCACTGGGTAGCATCTAAAAAACCTGATTTTTCATAGGTAGTGATTTAGTGGAGTTTACTATTTAAGTGCACTTAACTTCTGTCATGTGACTACACATTAACTCATGCATGCATAACTTTATGACCCGACATTTAATCTAGTTGATTCAACATGGATTAAAAAATTAATACAAAGAAATACAATTTTCGTGTTTCGAATGTTTCGAAAACCATACTAGAAAATGTTCAAAATCAAAACAGCATAAATAAAATTTGAAACAAAATTTAACATTTCAGAATCAATATAATCCAAAGAAATTATACACAATTAAATCATCCATGCAATTCAACTAGAAAAAAAAAATGTGATCATCCATTATTAACTAATAAAAAGCAAACAAAATCAACCCGGAAATTCGAAAAAAATAAAATAAATAAACAACACTTCCCCGAATATAAACTTTAAACACAAACAATATTTCCTTCTACGAACATCGAAAGATAAAATACAAAAAAAAAAAAAAGAAAGATTATATGTCCAATCATTATTATTCATATAAATATTTCGTTTTAAAAAATTTAAGTCTCCTGTGCAACTTCGACGGCGGGTTCTTGCGAGTCGTTGGATTCGGTGGAATCGGGATCTTGGGCCAAGGAATTTTTCTTGAGAGAAGTGGTTTTAGTGAGATGACTGTAACTGCCCTTTTCTTTGAACAGCTGAGCAAAGTGAGGCTTGCAGTAAAGGATTCCATCCAATGCAGCATATGATGAAGTTGTCAAATTGCATCCACCATGTGCACATTTGAAGCATGATTTATGGTAGAATTCACTCTCCACAGTCACCTAATTAATTATTACATGTAACAAAATTAATAAAATAATTAATTTAGTGTTTTTCAAGAATCATGCATGTGTAATCTCTAATTCCAGAAAAAAATCATCGTTTAAATATATTAGCAAAAAATCCCCTATAAAAATTAGTGAAAGCCATTATATAAGACCCCTACGAGCTGAATGTGTGTTGCACGAGCGGATTTCGCGACTTGGAGTATGTTTTTTGACTTGAAAGGACCAAAATACCCTTTTATAACATATATTCAGAAAATTATAAATTCACCTCATAATTTTTTGTAAGACCCAAAATAAAAGTTCCATAATTTTCTTTTATAATTAATATATATATAATTTATGGGTAATTTTGTCATTTCATTTAAGTCCAAAATGCAATTTTAATGTAAGGAGCTGTGTGCTTTGTAAAACGTAACATAAAGGTGTTATTGCTAATTCTTTTAACATAGGGTTTTTTTTTTATAATCTCTAAAATTAAACATTACCTTCTCCAAGGGGTAGACAGTCTTTTTGCAGACAGCACATTTGTCTTGAGTGCCAGAGAAAAGGGCTGACACTTTACTAGGAGTCCTATTCTGTAATTACATAATAATTCAAATAATTAATTAATAAAACATAGGAAATAATTAATTAAAATATAATGGATTTGGGGTTTTGTTTATTTACCAGTTCTCCACTCCTCCCAGCTGGTGACAAAATGAGAACAGAAAGAAAATCATCATGTAAGAAGAAAATAATAAATAAATAAATGAATATATATACATAAATATAGTCAAGTGAAAAGACAATTATGCCCTTATAGAAATCAGGTTTAGAAAAGCTGACATGGCTGATATTTCTTAGTAGTGAAGCTGCCTGTTTCCTTAAAGAGTTGTTCAAAATGGGGTTTGCAGTATAGTTTTCCATCCACAACTGAGTAATTACTTATCTGTTATGAAAAAAAAGAAAATAAAAATATTAATACACATATATAATTTTTTTAATTTTATGTATATATTTTTGTCATTTTATAAATTTATATAAACCATTAAACGACTGATTTTTTTTTTTGGTAAATTACAACTATACTCCTGATGTATGATAAAATAACTTTAAGGTCCAGGTGGTATCGTTAATTACAACCGCCCCCCTAAAGCATTGTTAGAAACCCTAACGCAATAATACATTGGATAAATTATTCCGTTAGGGTTCTAACGGACTATTAGTTTCAAGCAATAGTAGAGACAAGGTAGAGGTGCGGGTACGGGTACGGGATGACATGGTCCCCCTAACATTTCTTAAATCCTTATTATTTTATACAAGATTTATAAATTTTCGTCTATGGTAGCATTAACGGCCCCACGGAAAACAAATATAGTGTATATTGGTCCCCAGGGCATGAAATCTTGGCTCCAGTAGTTATTTATGGGGTGTAGCTGTAATTACCAATAATACAGGGACCTTCAAATTATTTTTGCATACATCAGGGGTGTAGGTGTAATTCCCTTTTTTTCTATTAGAACACCGATATAACGGAGAACGTAATTTGCAGCTTGAAGTAGCACACGATTTTCTTGTAAATGAAATCATAGTAGAGCAAGAATTTTATTGTCTTCGGGGTCGTATATACATTAAAAGACTTAAAAGTCCTTTAGAATGAATCGATAATACTACATTAAACTAATAAATCTATATATTTTCGGTCGTATTTTCATTACATTTTAGAGAAATACGTTTGCTGAGAAGAATTTGAGAATGAATAAGTTTTTGAAAAGAGAAAATTTGAAATAAAAAATATTTATTAATTAGTGACAATATTGCAAAGAACAAAAATAGAAGGTTAAGAAAAAAATTAATTAATTAAAAAAAAAACGAACTAAATATACCGCAAGGCGTCCGTTGCAATGGCAACATTTGAAGCAATTCTTGTGATATGGAACACCATCCGCAGACATCATTTCTACGAAATGTACGACTTTTTCGCAATTGTTGCATTTTTGCGTCGTCCCGTAATAAGACATTTTTTTCGCGCGAGAGAACAATAACTTTGCAGGAATATTGAATATCAAGAAGAGAAAAAAAATTCTGTAAAGAAATTTGGTCTTTGTTCTTTTATGGAGATTTTCTTGCAATTATAAAAGGGAAATAATAGGCTGAAAATTAAAATAGCTTATAAGCTGGTGGATCAGATGAATTCCAACCTGATATTAAGGAAATGGGGTGGAAGAGCTTCATTTAATTTGTTGAGATTATGAAAAACAACGGGTGAATTGCACTTTGCACCCCAATAATGGCATGAATTGGCATTTTGCCGCCTTAAATTTTGGAATTGACAAAATGCACCCTCAAACTAAATATCTCATTGCAATTTTTTTTTTTTAACTTCATATGTAATTTCAATTTTAGTGCGAAAAACTAACAAAAATATATCATTATTCTTCCTTTGTATTTCAGATCTTTTGGTTAAAATATCACAAGAGATAGGTCATTAGGGGTATGTTTGGATCGATTCCACTTTTGGTCCTCGTTGTTACAAAGCGAACAAAGTTCACCTCCAAGGTTCGATTTTAAATACTTTTGGTCTACGCCGTTACATGTCCGTTAGCAAGTAAAGGAAAACAGTATTTTGGGGCGCTAAAACCGCGGGATCTCCTCTCTACGAGATCCAGCATTTCTCCGATAAATGAGGCGAATTTGGAAAGCGGAGCTACTGAATGCTTCATTTTTCTATCAGTATAATTCTAGCTTTAATTACCATTTGAAAGCTAATTGTTGGATCTAGTTCGTTATATACACAAAGGTTTTGGGTGATTTAGAGAGAAGAGCTTTTTTTAGAAATGTGATGGACTGAATTGAAAAATATAAAAACTTAATTTTGGGCAGATGAATATTTTGGGGTTAATCTGTAATTTTTAGAAATATTATTTAAAGTGTATTTTGGGTATTTTTTTATGCCAAAAAACACATGCATATATAGTCGCACAAATCGCGAGTGTATGGCGCGTCGAGTCCTTTTTGCCTTTCACTAATTTACACACGGGGGTTCTGTGCTAAATTTTTTTAACACGCGGATATTTTTGGCAATTCAAAATTACACAGGGGTGGTTTTTGCAAAAAGTCCATATAATATTATTGAAAAATGCACAAATTCTACAAATGAGATATTGATTATTGATATCTGTACAATACAATAGTACTCAAATTACATAAATTTATTTATAATTGCAATATGATCCCCATATATATATAAAATTAAAATCCACAACATCCATTTTTAATAGGTGCAAAGGCCTTGAGCTGCTTGGGTTTATTAGGGTAATGAATTATGTGTGCTTTATATTCCTTCTCGACTCTTCCTTTCTTAACATTGATGATAAGACGTATATGCCCTATTCCTTTAACAATGTCGAACGTTCCGCTCACTACGTTCCGATACTCGAGATTCGTGCGATGCTTCATGTTGTACTCGTTCACTGCAAAGTTGCCATTTTCGATGGCGAACGAAAATGTCGGGTCGATGGTGCGCGCCGAGACTTGAAAAATATTGCCGGATAAGACTAAATACAGTACCGTGATTAGAAGACTAATACATTGAAACTTAACTAAACCCATTTTTCTTTAATTATTCTCTTTCTCCCTCTCTCCCTATATATACGAGAGAGAGAGAGAGAGAGAGAGAGAGAGAGAGAGAGAGAGAGAGAGAGAGGA